AACGACAACATGTTGAGTGTTCGCTTACTGCTAACTATGGCCTAGTTTGTTTGAGGTTCAATCGATTCTCGATGTAGGAAGCTCTTGTTCAGTCCATTTTACGACGATGCAGGCCTTTAGAAAACCATAGATTAGCTCTCCGCCGCTGTTTTGATATCTGTACGTTCGCGTTGATTTAGACTCCAATTTCATGTTGAAAGCACTCTTAATTAAATTGTACAATTCATGATTCAACGAAAAGACGGTAAATTTAGTCTTCCTAGCCTCAAAAGGCATACAGGAGAGTTATGTGCTGTTATTTGTGCTACGATAAGCCTGGTGGAAAGCTAGCTCTAGGACAGAATTGTATCAAGCTCATCAGTGACAAGTAAAATTTTATGGCTATGTTTTTGCGAATCCGGTCAGATATATATATTTTTTCCTTTTTTTTTTCTTTTCGCGAAGTTTGTGCTGGTATCCTTTCGTACGATAAACTCATCTCCGATCCTGTTTAGTTCGACGCTTTGCTCGATCAATCCTAGCTTGAAGGACTTTCTTTTCTACTGGAGCACAGCTAAAAATGGTAGGAGCGGCTTCCTCCTTTAGAGGTGGTGTCTTTTTTTTACCCTTTTTCCCGAGAAGCTCCGTCTGTAAGGAAACTGGAAATAAACATACATTGCCGCCTACAGTCAGAAAATTCGTCCCTGCTTCAAGAATTAATTGGTCTTGATTAAGCATATCCTCTAACCTGGAAGTAATAAAATCTACGTTAACGAGATAAACGCAAAATACCGTACTTATTTTTCATGAGAATGCAAAGTAAAAATGCAGTCTGTGTAAACGTTTAAAAATAATGAAATCTCCTCGTTATTCAAATTAATCTTAAAGCAGTTTCTCGTGATTTAACAGAAATTTAAGTTCCTCAGCTGATCCACGGAAAAAAAACGAAGCTGACTTTAGAAGTAGAGGTTGATCAAAGTATTGAAAATACATTTTACTTAATGCATAGAGGAGCGCACTCCACTAGGGTCAGAGTAACCTTCCTGAAGAATATGTGTAAAAGAAGTCGTCAATTAACATTTTAACTAAAAACGCTGTTCTCCAATTCTCATTTTCGTCCAGCCAAAACTTGTTCAATGTTTGAGGAGAACAGCTACGAAATGTAGTAAGATTTACGACACAAACACCAGCTTTGTTCTGCTCATTGAAGCTTTTGTTTGGCGATGTTTTCATTGCCGATATATTTTTTTTCTTAGTGACAAAGACAAGTTGAGAACGACCACACGGCTTAGCTAGTTACGTTCATCTTCCAGACACATCAGTGAATTCGTCAATCTTGCATTTGTCTGATGTTTTATGGGTGCTATTTTCACTATTTACCTACCTGTATAATACGTCTGTGTTGCATTGTTTTTATCCCTAAGTAAGTCCATTGCTGGGAATTGCTCAAAATCAATTTCTGTATCCTTCACCCATTTGGACTCCATAGGCTATGTTGAAGAATATACTAACGACTCCAGTTTCCTGCAGTGATGCATTATTATCTCACGGCATGTAAATTGAGACTACTGATTCCCGAATAATGGTTCGATAGAATCGAAGTTATCCAATAATTCACGGACACTCCTAAAAGCAGAGTTGGGCTTCAATCTTTCTTACATGAAAGATCAAAGCAACTCTGCTTCCAGGGGTAATTGAACGGGGACTGCTGAAAAACGGACAAAACTTGAAAAAAAGGTAAAAAATTTATGTTTTCATTTAATCGTAAGCCTCCGAGTATTTCGAACTGAAGTTTGGTGTTTTTGTCGTTTCTCTTTTATCTCATCTTAACAACTGTTACACATAGATAAGAGTTTTAATTCTGTACACGTCAAAACTGTTAAATCCGAGAGGAACCCTAAGATAAAACATCTAATTATCCCTAAACAAATAGAAATTATTGCTCCGGCGTAATAGCTGACTTCTTAGCTTTAATGTGGTAACTTATAACTTCAATTCGAAAGATCCGCACTCCTACAGCTAAGACCCAAGCCAAGCCAAAGAGTTTCGTTGTGATCTGTGTAGAGATGAACTCATCCACATGGATATGACTGTGTATGAACAAACACGTGTAAAAACATAAAGTTCTACCTAGCAATACTTAGCTTCAGATTTTTGAGGTCACCACCTGGCAGACGTAATTAAAGTTTACAGAGAGCTGTCATGAGTTCATCCAATCAGAAGACGTAATTACCGGTGCTAAGCACACGCCGTGTGAAAACAGTTTTGAGCTAAAAATTGGAAACAATATCAGTAATCTTGACAAGCTGCTGCTGAGCAAAACCTAAGAGCGATTCAAAAAGCCTTTTATCATAAATCAGTGGATGAAGAACTTCTATCCATGGAAGAGGGTTTCCACTTTTCAGTGCTCCCGTTGCTGTTTGTGGTTGCATCCTGGTCCGTTTTGCCTTACTGCATCACGGTGGCGAACCTCGGTGAGTAGGTTCTTTCCATTTCCCAAGCAACTCTTGCTCTGTGAGCAGCTGTCATTGATCTTTGCAGTAGCATTCAGGTTTCAGTGGCTGGCAACTTATAATTCAAAAGAATTATTGCGGCGGAAAACTAATGGTGGTTACGTTTTTCGGTCAACTTTCGATCAAATCGGTTCCGAACGTTATTTGAGATTTTATCATAACTGAATTCTCTTTAGTTAAGGCCGCCACGTCCATAAAACGACCAAAGGACAATCTAAACGGGCTATTGAGAGACTTTTGAGTAGAAAAACAGTTAATTCCAGTCCGAAAATGAAAAAAATAAAATAAAAAATAGAACAAAAGTAGAACTTCGCTATGCTTTGAAAGTAGTTGTTTTATCAGAAGCAACTAGGGACAATTTTCACAGAAAAATTTAAGTTAAGACAGAAATCTACAAGCAAAGAGTAATTTGAAGAAATAACCCTCACCGCCAGAAAATAGTCAAGATACCGACGATGCCTATTTTGATTCTGATCCGCAGTCTCAAAATCTTAAACTGCATTTCGATTCATTCTGTAATAATATGTATAACTAGACTGAATACAACTCATGCCAGGCCACTCGAGGAAGATTAGGAGAACTCGAAAAAGATGGGGGAAACGTTCGCTTGTCTACTCGTGTTCCTGCAGCATTTCTCCTTCCTCCAAACTTCCACTTATTAGCTTATGAGCTCGAGATTTTTATCGCGCGATATTTCCCGAGGGCGCAGCCGATTGCGCAGCCGTGAGTGAGTGCGCAGCCAATTTCTATCACGCATAGAAATCGAGAGCGAATATTCTAATTGTTTTAGAGTAAATCTACTGGTCGTTCAGAGTGGAGGAAAAACATGACATGGATTTTTTGGCCACATAGTAAATTAGAATTTTCAAGACAAAACCTGCAACGAAAAGAGGCAAAATTTTCATTAACATCCCTTTTATAAACTCAGGCATGTATTTTTGATATTTTGCTCAACCTTTTTTTTTTTTTTTAATTTTTTTTTTTCGCAGATCTCTGCCGGCATCTTAAGTTTACCACAGCAGTCGATGGATATGCTCTGCATGGCCACGTGATTAAGAATATTTCTTTAAACTTGGGAACGCGTGCTTCTTGCAAAGGGCAATGCACCATAGAAAATAACTGTGTGTCAATCAACATCGGTCCACCGATAAACAATAAAGTCTTATGTCAGTTGAGTGACTCTGACCACATTCGACACCCTGATGATCTTAAACCACGTGACGGTTTCATGTACAGAGGCACCGAGGTTAGAAAATTGAAGATGAGCTTACGGTTCTTTAATCTCTATTTTTCGTGTGTTTGTAGGTTACATCTAGTTATTTAGTTAATTAGTTCGTCAGTTGATTGGTTAGTTGGTTTAGATAGTTAGTTAGTTTGTTAGTTAGTTAGTCAGCAAACGTTAGCAAGCGACAAAGCAAAATTAGCAAGTATACTATTGATGTTTGATAGATACCATTAAGTTTCAGCAAACAAATTATTTTTCATCATCAGAATCCGTGCTCTAGTAACCCATGTACTGAAAACACGACCTGCCTGAACGGATTTACCAGCAAAAAATACCTCTGCGTCTGTCAGACAGGTTATACTGGAGAGCAATGCGAGAACGGTGAGTATAATAACATTCCCCATAATCTTCTTATCTTGTAATCTATTACTGCATATTATCAATATAGATATACTCAATAAGCCAGTTAGTATTCATATATGGTCTTGTGCCAACGTGTGTCTGTCGTGGCACATTTATATCGAAGTTTTTGGCAGCCGCAGTCTGTTTGTAAGAAATGTACTATTCTGAGTCTCGAATTTGTCTTCCTTTGTTTCGCCCGTTTATATATGTACATTTTTTTTCATAATCTATTCGTCTTTTTCTCCGTTTCACTCATTTATTACCTAGATATCAATGAATGTGATAACGACATGAGCGGTTGTCACGTGTATGCAGATTGTATCAACACCGCTGGATCATATTATTGTACTTGCAAGGCGGGGTCCACTGGAGACGGACGCAAATGTTCAGGTGTGCTATTTAAATCTCAACATTGTAACATAACACCTCATTTCTTTAGTTGGTTTGGTTGGTTGGTTGGTTTTCTCAAGCTTCCTGTTTTCTCAATGTTGGTCTATCTTGGGCAGGGAAATAGTTTTCTCGTTTTTAGTCTTTATTTTCGATTTTATGAATTAAGAAATACTGCAATATATAATTAACATTATTTCTTGTGAGCCTAGCTCGTTAATTCAGTTTAAGACTGCTAGAGAGTTTTAATAAACTACTACTACTACTACTTATTATTATTATCATCATTATCATTATCATTATCATTATCATTATCATTATCATTATCATTATCATTATCATTATCATTATCATTNTTACTATTATTATTGTTATAGCTGTAAATGTTGGTTTTCACTAACGACGGAGTCGTAGTCGGAGTCGTAATCATAGGGAATTGTGACACGATCTAGTGAATATCAAACCAACGCACGCGGAAGCAGGATACCGATTCCGTTTCTTACCCTTTCGCTTATGATCAAGTGGAAACTACATAGTCGGATTCGAAACTAGAACCGAAAGAATAAACTAATAAGATTTTCGATTCCAGACCTTGTGATTGGTTAGTTCTTCCGACAATCTAGTTTTCGCTGGATCGTAAGCGACGGAGTCAAACGGAATCGGAAGAAATGGAAACGATGTAATTCTCCTGACTCCGATTCCGTCGAACTTATATACTACTCCGCTGACGGCACCGACTTATGATTTTTACAAGGCCATTACAGCTCTTACGACTCAGACTACGACTCTAACTCCGACTCTGTCAATAGCGGAACGCAGCCTTTAAAGGACAACGTCCGTAATATATATCATTTCATTTTTCCTAGCGTTTGCCCGGTCTTGCAAACAGCTGTTTGATTCTAACTTGTAAGTACTCGATCTCTTTTTTTTATGGAAAAATTTAGTCAAGCTTTGCTCCATGCTGCTCTCCAAGTGCCTCTCTCCACTCAGGTGTATAAATGGGTACCGGCGAATTTAATACTAGGGTTAACCCCGCGATGGACTAGCATCCCATCCAGGGGGGAGTAGAAATACTCCTAGTCGCTTCATGCTACTGAAACCTGGATAAGCTCTGGCCTGATGAGACACTTGGCTCGTATGCAGACTTTACCTACCTTTACCTTTGCTCCATGCTTGGAAAACATCAGCAGAACGACAGCAACATAAAGAACAAGAAAACATCGAAATGCGAAAAAAAAAAAAAACTTGCTAAAATTTCCAGCAGCCAATGCTAGCTGACTTTGATGTATAACGGTTGATTACTTGTTGAAACCTATTGCTTTATTCAATTAGGTTACTTGGTAATTCTTAGCTTACGGACAAAGCGTTTGCAAAGTTCTCACTACTGAGTCCCGAAATCAGCTTGACTCTTAGCAGAATCAGAGGTCTCTTTATAAGCGTGGAATGGGAGACTTGAAAAACATTTTCTTTAAAGGATTAAATGCATTAAAGGCATTAGGATACAACCATGAATGCATTTGCAGTCATTTTTTTCGTGGCAATGGAAATACCTTTGGATATATATATGTACAATGATAAAGCTACCTACAAGAATGTCAGCTTTATTTATCATTTCTTTGTGTTTAGTGAGGTGTTTAAAAAGAATCTCTCGTTGTTCTTCAGATCCGCAGGCAACAGAGCTTACCCACTGAAGCTGGGTTCATCACTTGAATTTAATGTCTACTGTCACATGACTAATGACCTTGAGGCATGCAGCAGTGGCAGTGGCAGTGGATGGACACTGGTCATGAAAATTGACGGTGACAAGGTATTGAAAAAATCATTATGTCCTTGTGTGCAGTTACTGTGCATTTCCTTGAACTCTTAACTTATTTACTATTCCGCCCATTCCCTCCTTATTAAGGTTTTCTTCCACTTTGAAATGGAGATTTTGTTTCAACATTGTCAGTTTACGTCGGCCTTTTAACAATGCCACAAGAAGTACATTTTCACCAGTGCCAGTCAGGACAAATTTGACCATTTTAATGTTTATTTATTTCGTTTTCCCTCTATTCTAATTTTTTTCCCTAAGCAGAATTACAACATTAGTACTTTCTTTCATTCCTGTTAGAACTTGAAAGGTTGGCATTTTTGTAAGCGTAACTAGATGTGGCACATATTAGCGCGGTAAGCCTTATGAACTACATGCGACACCTCGTGCTTCGGCTTGGAGTAATACCTCGCTTGTGCTTGCTTTGTTTGTAAGTGCCGGGTTGTATAAGAATTAAATGAAATTAAGCCGTCGAGTGGGTCTTTAGCTACTTTCCAATATTGATCACTTCGAGCCGGACGTGCACTAGAGGAAGTTATGAAATCCCGAAATCCTGAAAACCATCGAAATCAGAAGTAACCTTCCTTTACGAGTCCTCTCTAAAGAAAAGGTGGACATTATCCAAGGACTAGATGAAGATATTCTCGAATTATCAACGGAGGTACCAGATAAAGGACTAGCAGATAATTACAATAGGCATTACATTAGGTTTCCGACGATCTCAATTGTAAAGCGCGATCGTGCCAAAGAATTGCACAACAGCATATACCCTTCTCATGTGGGGGAGACCATTCCATTGTGAGGCTATGAGATGCCCTGATCACGCGAGAGCTGATATATTTTTTGTTGTTAAATACGGGCATTTTATTGTTACTTTCGTTCATAGATGACTTTCCACTACAATTCCAGCCTTTGGAGCAACACGGAAACCTTCAACCTGAAAGGAGGGGAGACTGGGTTTGACTCACAAGAGACCAAGTTACCGACCTACTGGAATACATCCTTCTCCAAGATCTGTCTTAGCATGAAAATCGGCCAGCAAATCAAGTTCATTGTCATCAACAAGCATGCAAACTCTCTGTACTCACTGATTGCTGACGGGCAGTACCGTGCTACCTCACTAGGTCGTGACACTTGGAAAGCACTTATTGGTTCGGAAGCATCTTTGCAAACCAATTGTAATAAGGAAGGGTTCAACACCGTTGGAAGCAGCCTTAGACATTCTAAAGCAAGAATCGGTTGGATAAGTAACAATCAAAATGATTGCTTCACTTGCGATTCTAGGATCGGGTTTGGTACTGGAGGTGCCCAAGTTGACGCAAACTCGTGTGGCAATGAAGCATCGCTCGGACCAGATAATGGAGACAAGCACATCAAAGCCATCGGATACATCTTCATTCAGTGACACTTTAATGTAACCTGCCTACAAACCTTTTGTAATGCCTTCCCAGAAAGTTTGTTCTACAGAATTGTAACAGCGTACGCGAAAGTCCAAAAACCTATTAGGGTCACGGGTAAAGGTGGTTAACCTTTATTTGATAGAAGTTAAAGGCGTTAGGACGAAAGAAGAAGAAAACACAAACACAAGTGTTCATTATATTTTCTTCTATCAGGCCAAAACACCGTGAACGATGGTCGACTCCACTACTGGTAAACTAACACTACCCAAAATGCCTTTGCTTCTGTAGGACAACTTCTCTCGAAAAAGCTTCTGTATGAATATATTGTATATGTACACACCGTAGACCTGCAAAAGTATTTTTTTGTAGTGAAGGCGTACGATTTTTTCTCACAATATTACGATCATTATCAGTAATTCCGTTGTCATCCCAGTACGTTCCGGTTCTTTCCGGCTCGTTCCGATTTATTCCGTTCCATTCCGGTCCGTTCGGGTTCACGAGTCCAGTTCATTTTGGTTTCCTCCGATAACGATCCAACGTATCCCTAGGCAAAAATAATTGTAAGCCGCAAGCTGTGTAAACGTTTGTCAAAATCATTTAACGTTCGAGTCCTCGTTATTGAAAACTCATCTTAAGGCTGTTTCTCGTGGTTTGACAGTAAACCATTCGTGCGAGAGACAGCACAGCACAATTTAAGTTCCTGATCCACGAAAACACAAGCTCGGCAAATGACATTGGTTTTGCAACTAGAGGTTGATCAAAATATTGAAAATACATTTTGCTTGCATACATAGAGGCTGCGCACTCCACTAGGGTCAGAGTAAGCTTCCTGCTGAAATTAAAGTGTAAAGAGGTCGTCGATTAACATTTTGAACTAAAAAAACTGTTTGCCAATTCTCGTTTTCTTTAAATCGGAAATTGTTCATTGTTTGAGGTGGACAGCTACGAAATATGGTAAGATTTAAAATGCAAGTGCGAACCTTTGTTCTGCTCATTGAACGTTTTGTTTGCCGATGTTCTCGTTGCCGACGTTATTTTTTCCCTTGGTTACAAAGAAAAGTATAGAGTGATAACAATCCTCAGTTAAGTTCATCTTCCAGACACATCCGTAAATTCATCAATCTTGCATTTGTCTGATGTTTTATGCGTAGTATTTTCACTATTTACCTACGTGTATAATACGTCTATGTCGTTTTGTTTTTGTCCCTGAGTAAGTCCCTTGCTGGGAACGACTACACGGTTTAGTTAAGTTCGTGTATTTTATGCATCTTTTAAAGACATCACTTAAGTCTTAGAACTTTCCCTGACGTTTTATGCGTTCTATTTTCGATATTTACCCAGATGTATGATACGTCTATGGTGCATTGTTCTGCGGTTTCCCTAGGTAAAAGCTGCTAGTTATATACACATTTTAGGTGGTCGGTTTCTCACGTCGAACTAAAATTGAATATTTCCGTTTTATATTGAAATTCCACTTGTTCGACGTTTCGAAGTTTGGAACATCATTTTTAAGGCAAAATTAAATGAAAATTTCAAGGTTACGAAGGGATTTAGATGAGTGAATGATAATTAACATCTCTTTGCGTTTGTTATACAGTCGAACCTCCCAGGTCGCATACGGGAGGTGGTCGTTTAGAAGAGCTCAGGCCATTCATCTTTCGTTATTCAACCCTGCAAATTAAGTATTGGTCCACGAAAACGAAAACCTTAGCAACTGACACTGGGTTTCTATGTGAGGGTTGATCAAAACTTTGAAAATACAGTTAGCAAGTTTCATTTATGCAGGCAGCGCGATCTATTGGGGTAAGAACATCCTTCCTGCTGAGTGTGTAAAAGTAACTGTCAAGTAAGATTTTCGCTCTCCCAAACATTGCTCACTGTTTACGCAAGTGCAAGCCATTGCTTTGCTCATTGAGTATTTTTTTTGGCGATGTCCTTGTTGCCGTTGTTATTTTTTTTTTCCTTACTTACAAGGTCAAGTTGAGAACGATTGCGCAGTTCATCAGTTATGTTCGTCTGTTTCATGAATCTTCCAGACACATAAAGTCTGACATTTTAGGTGTCTTATCTATCTATTTACCTACATGTATAATACATTTCTAATGAATTATTCTTCTCCCTAGGTCAAAACCTTTAGTTATAGACATTTTAAGCTATCGGTTTCTCAGTTTGAATTAAATTTGAAATCATACCGTTAAATACATGCATTATTTGAAGTGACCCATTGCTGGGAAATGCTCAAAATTTATACATGTATCCTGTACCCAGAAAGACTCCAAAGGCTATGTTGAAGCATAAACTAATGACTAAAGTTTCCTGCCGTGATACAGTGTTATCTGACAGCATGTAAATTCAGACTACTGATTCGCGGATAAGAATTCGATAAAATTTAGCTGTCTAAGTAATTCACGGACACTACTCCTGTGAACGGGTACGAGCGGAGTTGCTTCGATCTTTCCGAGATGAAAAATATCGAAATAACTCTCATCACAGTTTAATTGAACATGGGCTCCTGAAAGATGATCAAAACTTAAAACAAAGGTTAATAATTTATGTGTCTTCATTCAGTCGTAAACCGTGGCGTATTTGTCACTGAAATTCTGTGTTTTGGTTGTTTCTATTTTATCGTAACGAAAGTTACAAAGCTGACGAATTTTCCTTCCGTACCAGACAAAACTTTTAAATCCGCGAGGAACTCTCACTTACGACACCTAATTATTCCTAAACAAATAGAATTATTGTTCCAGAGTAATACCTGGTTTCTTACCTTTAATTTGACATGCGGTGTTTACCATTCAAAGCTGTTATTACCTAAAATCCTATACCTCGTCCGTTAATCGCATAAAGGGCATGCCTCTAGTATTTATTTCGTTTTTTTAATGTTTCATGCAAAATACATCATTCAAAGCATGACGAATCTTATTAGTAGATTCTCTCTCTTTTTTTTT